GCAAATAAAGTTTAAAGTCTGCGTGTCTCCAGACTGTGTCCACAGTGTTTCAGTGCAGCAGAGTGAATCTGATTTACTGGCAGCTTTTTGTCCTTTCACTGAACAAGAAGCTCCAACAGAGATGAACTGAAGATGTGTTTCTATCGTTGCTTCATGATGGAATAATGCTGGCATCAATATAAAAATGGGACTTTTGGTTGTCGGTGATATTTGTGAGGGACACATGTGTGAATGTTGTACTGAAAAGCGTCTGGACTTCTTTAAGTTGCTTGAAGACGTTTCACCTTCATCCGAGAAGCTTCTTCAGTTCAAAGGTCAAATGGTGGAGAGTCCCAGAGTCCCACTAGGTTTAAATCTGGGACTTGAAGTTTCAGCTTCAGTCTTCACACATATCCGTGCTGGTCAAAGTGTAAAACTCGAGGCTGAACGGCCTCTGTACTAGCACACACTTCTTAGTTGGGCACAGCTATGAGCACAAACAGCAGTGGCAGCCAGCCTGTGTCTGTCCAACCAATCAGAGCTCCTCACATCAAAAGCAGCATGTGGTTAATTTGCATTGCTTTGGGATTGTCATGGTCCTACGTCTGACCCAGTGTTTTGTGTTCGCTTATTGGTCATTCATGGTTTTGGTTTTCTGAATGTTATATTTGTTCTTGCTTCCAGTTTACTGTATTTTCCTTGTGTACCATCTGTAATATTCCTTCAGTCTGTTTCTCAGCCTAGTCCTTGTGAATCGTTTCAGGTTTTATTTTGATAGTCCCTGTCCTGTGTGCAGTGTGTCTGGTTTTGCTTCCCTTGTCTCATTAGCTGTGTTTCCCTCCTATCTCCCATTCCCTGATTACTCTTGTGTGCATTTAAACCCTGTGTTTTCTTTGCTCTGTGTCGTGTCACACTGTCATATTGTTTCTAGTGTTCCACGGTTTAGTTTTCTCTTTGATTGTGTCAGGAATAAAGCTGAGGTTTTTGAGTTTATATTTTGCATCCTGGAGTACATTTGGGCCTTTCTCTCCTGTCCACAAACAGCATTCATCCGTGACAGGGATTTTAAAAATAGATAGCAAATCAAATAGTTAATCCCAAAGCTAATTCATTATCTAATATCATAGCTAATCTGTGAGCTAACAGGAGGTGAAATGGGTTTTAAATGAGGAGTGGAATCAACATTCTAAATGTCAGTAATAAATCTTAATTTTTGTATCTATTGATTTCTTTCTGTTGTTTTTTAAAAACAATTTTGAAAATCAATTTTTGAATGTAGAATGCAAAAATGGTTTTTGAAATGAGGTTTTTATTGAATGTTTAATTCTGCTTTTCTGAAATTCATAAATATTGATTTAGACATTTTATTTTTGTTTAAAATTAAATCATTAAATAATAAATGACATTCTAGGATCTCATCTCATTTGACCTGACTTACATCCCAGCACCCCACTCACTATCTGTCTTTTGCCCCGTCTGTTTCAGCTTGTTCTTGTTGTGTGTCATGTCATGTATGGGTTTTGCCCTGTTAAAATGAAATGAAAAAAAGAAGTCAGATAATACACACAAACTAGTTAAATTACTGTATTAAAGACTTAAAGAGCTGGATGACCTCTAATCTTCTTCTCCGAAATTCAGATAAATTGAGTAAATTCTTGTACTTGTCCCTGCAAATATAATAAATGTGGTATCCAACCTGGCTCCAGTAACACTGTGAGGATTCTTGGGCTCATTCTTGACCAGGATATGTCCTTCAGCATGTGCAGTACAGAAATCTGTGGGAGTGTTTACCTTCATTCTAACATGTGAGCACTGATACATGTTTGTTACCATAAACATGCATGTTTGCTGTGAAAGCTGCTCAGGCACAAATGTTCCTCATCTCATATGTAACGACTGAAGAGAGGAAACTATGTGGTAGTTTAACAGCTCCACGCTCCCCCTGCTGGAGACATCTGGTAATTGTTTCTAATCTTAGTACTGCTGGTATATATACTGCATGACTGTACTGTCAGTCACAGGAAAACATACAAGATATTGTACCTTATAAAAATCAGATATCACTTTAACCCTCTCAGGCTCAAATTAAACTTTTTGTTGCTAATGCACAACCAAGTCCTGCAGTGGTACTTCTGAGTAAAAAACCCTCATAAAATATGTATGTGGGGTAATCAGGTTGTTAGTTTTTAACTGTTGCAAATCAGCAACGCCTGCCTTGAGAGGGTTAAACTTGACAAGAAAGATGGCCCGTCTATCTCCACGGTGATAACCCCATCTACTGAGGTTGGATGTAAAGAGCGATGATGATTTTTATTTTAGCTCTATGTGCCTGAACTTTCCTTACTTTTTAAATGACTGTATCACATTTAAACTAAACGTGAAAAACTTATATTACTTACAGCAGATCTAACCAACAGGTACAGGTCAGGATTTTAAATATTGATGAAAAATATGTAATTAGTCTAACTTTTGGAACAACCTGCCGAATTATAAGAAAAGCATGTCAGTAGATGAGAAATTTGACTTTATTTATTTCTTTATATGTTATATTTACAAACTGTTTAGCTCGTGGATTATAATTGTTAATCCAGTAAATTTGAGTTTAGATGTGTGAGACTGATTGTTTTAGCTGTGGTGGGCTCTGATACTCTGAGAGTTTAAAAAAAATTTAAAAACTGAGTTCAGTCTACATGAAAGTTTGAATGAAGTCATTAAGTACATTCCCTGTTTTTTGATCAGGTTAATAACGTTTGTTTAAATAATCTTTAAATAATTTCTTACTGAAGCTGGCCAGATAAAAACTTTCACTCAGTAGGCCCACGTCCTCATTTTAGGTTTGATATTATTTTAATACATTAAGGCGAATGGCTTAAACATGAAGTGAGCTGTGGATTGGGGAAGGCCTCGCCCCTGAAGATTCCCAATTACTAATTGTAAGGGAGAAAGTTAAAGAAGTGAAAAAAGGACGGGCATGAAAATGAGAATGAACAGCTTGTAGAACTGGGGGATTATATATAGAAAGGAACTGGAAGATGCTTGATTGGAGGAATGGCCCTGTTCCTGAAATTCAAATACTTTATCTCCAATTAGAAAGCACTTGGAGAGTTTCAGTCTCTCTGACCTGAAGCTGTAGGAACCCTGGTCTCATCGTCAAACATCAGGAGGAGCTGCTCCATCAGAAACACCACAGAAGAAGAACCACAGTAGATCAAAGAGGGCATTTTTATTCTGTTCACTGAACAGATTAATATAAATATAAGATAACTACACCTGCCTCATTATTATAAAATTATTTACATTTGTCATGCCGGGGCAGATCACACGACTCTGTACAATATACAAAAGATAAACATAAACAATCACACTGAGGTACACAGGAAAACAGATCTGATTGGACTGAGACGAAGCAAT